CCCCAACCTCGAATTCGGATTTTCGAAGGACGCGACCCCCAACCCACAGGGGGAGCACAGACACAGCGGAGGAGCGAAGATACGACTTGTGAGTGAGAAACTTGTTTCGAATGACGGCTGCTATACCCTTAGAGCAGAGTGAAGCAGAACGACACCTGAAGAAAACCGAATTCGCCCCAACCTCGAATTTGGATTTTCATATATATATATATATATACAATTTATATTTAAAATAAAAAATTTCTAAGAGTTTTAATTGATAATTTTTAACTATTAAAATTAAAAATCTACAAGCCTTACTTTAATTTTTGGCTAGATAATGAGATAGTGTTTTTTATTTTTGATATGACATTTTGTAGACACCTAAAAATTTCTTCCTGAAATCAAACCCGATGATGAACAACCTTTCACCGCCACTATTGGTTGGGTTAAGTATTTAATCCCGGGAGTGCTTATGTTCAATCAAACTCAGTTCACAAAAATAGTCAACGGATCAGTCCTAATGTTTAGTTAAAGCATAGTCCAATTTGTATTCTGGCCTGTTGAGGGTAAAAATACTCCGTATACGTAGACCAGTCCCGTAGTGACACGTGGCCCAGTTATAGGGTGACACGTGTCACTGTGAGAAGATGCCCCGCGACTAGCTTAAGCACACTCAAAGGTCCAGGCCGATCATGTAGCGACATGTGACCCAGTTAGAGGGTGACACGTGTCGTTATAGGAATATGCCACGTGGTCAGGGCATGTAATCCCCTGAAATCAGCACGCAAAAGAGGCCTAATAACGTCAGGGCCCAAATCCCGAGAGATATCACTGAAAGCCGCAAAGCGGCGCCCCAAAAATGACACGTGGCATTCACTGATTGCGCAGCCAATCACGTCATGCAATTCTAGGGTACAAACCCTAGAATGGGGCACGATTCCCATCCCTATAAATACCCCAATCATTTATGATGGGAGGGGTGGATTGAGACATTACAACAAAAAAGAGCATTAAAAGCTCTAACTTCTCTCTACTTTCTCTCTCTAGCCTTTTCCGTTTCCGATCACTAACTTGATCGTCGGAGGCGAATATTCCGACAACCGGAATATTTGTTGTTTTGCAGGTTAGACCGTCTCGTTGCCAGGAGAGCGTGACCAGTATCCAAAGAAATCCAAAAAACACCCGAAACATTTGACGCCGTCTGTGGGGATACTCGTACGTTATGGCGATAGACGGTCAGACACCTAATCCGGGCGAGGACGGACATGTAGAGGATATAATCCCTACAATCCGTACCAGCGATCCGTTGATAGCCACATTTCAAGAAGCCGATGACCCTCCTGTTACCGCAGCCTCTCTGAAGGAGTTTAAGAGCAATGGAGCCTCTACTTCTAGGCAGCCGCCCAGGAGAGAGGAAAAGAGGTCTCCAAAGAAAGCGCACAGCAAAGCGGCCCATGCAACGGACGCTAGAAACACTCCCTTTCGTAGGCCGACTGGAAGATCCCCAATGGTACCACGGACAAATTTCTCTGATCTGTTGGCAAAAACACAGTCGGCTGGGGGGAGGGGTAAGCAGCCTCGAAGAGAGGAGCCTGAGCCGTCTAGACGATGGAAGGACGCTAGAGATTACCTCCGGCATAAGCAGCGGGAACGTGCCGCCTACTCGGACACGGCCTCAACCCCAACTATGCCGGATGATTTTTCAAATCATTCTCTCTCCTAACATACCAACACGGCCATCTCAAGCCGAAGCCAAGTCGTCCGTACTCCAACCCTTACTTCATTCGTCCGCACTCCAACTCTTATTCCAGTTCAATCACTCCAACATCAACCTCCCCAGGGGTTCAATGGGTTGATGCAGCCAAATCCTCAAGTCTTCGGACAATATGGGCCATACGGGCAGACGTACGGCCAGGCTCCCTACTTGGCTGGACCGTCCATTCAGCCTCAGCCAATTGATTGGCAGATGCGCCTGCTGACTTTGGGAGATAAGCCGCCTCCGTTTTCGCAAGATATTTTAACTTCTTCTCAGCCGCCGAAGGTGAAGAGTGTGCTTGTGGGAGCCTATGATGGTATGGGCAACCCAGAAAAGCGTATCACCTCGTACAGAAACCTGATGTACTTGCAAAGTGTAGATGATGCTACCTGGTGCAAATGTTTCTCGGCCACTTTGAAAGGGGTGGCACAAGATTGGTTCAATAGCCTCCCGGCCGGATGCATTAATTGTTTTACTACCCTTAGTTTGATGTTTGTGGGAAATTTTTCATACAACATACCGCCTCGAAAGACTAGCCTCAATTTGGCAACAATCGTCCAAGGGAAGAATGAGGGCCTACGCTCGTACGTCCAGCGATTTAACCAAGAAAAAGCCTAAATTCATAATCTGCCGGATGAAATGGCATACTTTGAATTTCTCCGGGGATTAAGGCACAATGGTTTTAAATTTGACCTGGTACGGAAAAAGATTCGGACATAAGCAGGTGTTTTGCGGGAAGCCGAAGCCTATATTGAAGCGGCGGACTTTTGTTCGCTCACAAAATCAGAAGCGCCGGCCAAGGGGGCTGAGAAGAAACTTTCTCAGCAAGACTCGACCGGCCAAAAGAAAGAAGGAAAAAGGAGAAAAGAAGTCTGGGTGGCCGATGCCCAGCCACAGAAGTCCAAGAAGGTCAAGACGTACGAGACTTGGTATGAATTCAACAAGGACTGTTGTTCTATCTTGATGGAAATCAAGGATAAGTTTGAGTTTGAAAAGCCACAGCCGCTGAGAGGCCCGACTCAATACAGGAACAAGAACAAGTACTGTCATTACCACAAGGACGTGGGACATGACACAAACGATTGTATCAACTTGAAGAGATTGCTGGACAAGCTAGCCGAGAAGGGCATGCTGAATTCTTATGTGATGAAGTCCAAATTCACTTACACACGGACAAACAACACGTCCGAGCCAAGACAGAAAAATGATAAGAATAAAGAAAAGGAAGATGATGGGAATAACACTGACTCAGGCTTTTTGGCCGTGATATTAGGGGGATTTGCCTCAGGCGGCCCAACTATGAAGGGGATCAAACAGGACGCCCAGAACTTGGGAAAGGTGATGAAAGCAGATTCAGTGAAGGTCGAACCCTTTCCCGAAGTAATCATCAGTGAGGCCGACCGGGGGGAGGTCAAAGCTCTGCACAATGATCCCATGGTATTCATTATGAAGATAGCCAATTTGAAGGTCGGACGAATATTGATTGATATGGGTAGTGCGGCTGATATCATCAGCCTGGCCGCCTTGAAGAATCCTAAGCTTCCCAGAGGATGCTCTTCAGGACATCACTCACCCATTGGTCGGATTTGGGGGGAATGTTATCCACCCAGTTGGGCGGATAGATTTACCCGTCCGCTTTGGGAAAAAAGGGGAGGGAAGAGATATGGTTGTCCGCTTCCTGGTCGTGTAGGAGCTGACTGGATACAATGTCATACTCGGCCGTCCTACACTAAACGCAGCCAAAGCAGTCATTGTACCTCACCTAATGCTGCTAAAGTTCGAGAGGACGGACGGAAAAATAAGGACAATCCAAGGGAGTCAGAAGATGGCGAAGGAATGTAATCAGTTGGCCGTTAAGCCTAAAGCACGCGGACCAAAGGCGTCCGAGCCAAAAGAAGAAGGAACCTCACTCCCGGCACACCAGGTCGGCCAGAAGCGTAAGGCGGCCAAGATAGAGCAAGCATAGCAGCTAATGACTGTCGGTAGGCCAGAAGAGTTACGGCTCCAGCCGCCCGACAGTCATCAAGATATAGTGCTTGACCCCGATCAACCGGGTCGGACGGTTAGTGTGGGCACTATAGCTTTGGGTGTGCTTTTGGATGAGTTAATTCAACTGCTGAGAGAATTCAAGGATGTGTTTGCATTTGATGTTAGTGAGATGCCAAGAATAAGCCCTGACCTGGCCGTGCACAAGTTGGCTGTAAATCCAGCCATTAAGCTTGTCCGCCAGAAGAAAAGGAATCATGGAGAAGAGAGGAATCAGGCGGCCGCAGCTAAAGTAAAAAAGCTGCTGGATGCCGGTTTCATTTGGCAATGTTATTACCCAGACTGGGTAGCCAATGTGGTTCTCGTGAAGAAGCCGAATGGAACTTGGAGAATGTGTATGGCTTACACCGATCTAAACAAGGCATGCCCTAAGGATAGCTTTCCCTTGCCCAAAATCGACCGCCTGGTTGATTCAACGACCGGCATGCCCTGATGAGTTTTATGGACGCATACTCCAGATTCCATCAAATTCCATTATGGGAAGAAGATTAAGAGAAAACAGCGTTCGTAAGTGAGCAAGGGTTGTACTGTTACAAAGTTATGCCATTCGGCCTTAAGAATGCCCAGCTACCTTTCAACGACTTGTTAATACAGTATTCAGAGATCAGCTCGGCCGGAATATGGAGGCGTACATTGATGACATGATTGTCAAGTCAAAAGAGCCGGCCGACCATCTGAAGGATCTGCGAGAAACTTTTACCAAACTCAGGCGGCATAAGATGATGTTAAATCCAAAGAAATGTGTCTTTTGTGTTGAGTCCAGTAAATTTCTCGGATTTTTAAATGATCAGCGTGGAATTGAGGCCAACCCTGAAAAGATTCAAGTCGTCCTGGACATAAGTCACCAAGGACGATTAAAGAAGTACAAAGATTGACCGGCTGTTTAGCAACACTTGGTAGGTTTCTATCAAGATCAGGGGATAAGTGCCGTTATTTCTTTCAAACCATTAAGAAGAAAGCCATGTTTGAATGGACAGAGGAGGCCGAGGAAGCATTCATACAGCTAAAAAGCCACCTTCATACATTTCCTCGGCTCGTCAGTCCACTCAAGAGTGAGAAGCTATTTATCTATCTCGCCATCTCTAAACACTCTCTAAGTGTCGTCCTAATTGCTGAACGGGACGGCCACTAGATCCCAGTCTACTTTATCAGCCATGTACTTCACAACGCTGAGCTGAAGTATCCCCCTATTGAAAAATTTGGTTTGGCATTATACATGACATCGAAAAAGCTGCGGCCATACTTCTTGGCACATTCAATTGTGGTCTACACAGACCAACCTCTGAAGAAGCCATTTACAACTCTAGAGGCAAGTGGCCGTATGCTCAAGTGGGCCTTGGAAATGAGAGGCTTTGACATTGCGTTTGAGCCAAGAAAAGCAATCAAGGGACAAGCCTTTGGTGATTTTTTAGCTGAGATGACTCGGCCGGATCTTCAGCCAGCCGGAGACCAGATCTGGAAGGTGTTCGTGGATGGTAGTGCAACAGCTACCGGGTGTGGTGCGGGTGTCATATGTCAGTCTCTTGAGGGAGATAAGTTTGAGTACGCTATGAGATTTCAGTTTCAAGCCTCCAATAATGAGGCCGAGTATGAAGCCCTCCTGGCCGACCTTAGATTGTGTAAGGCGGCAGGAGCAACAAAAGTTGATGTAAGCTCGGACTCCCTACTTGTAGTCGGCCAGGTGAATGGAGACTTCGAGGCAAGGGAGGCAGCTATGATGAAATACCTGAAAATTGTAAAGGATGAGGCTAAGGGCCTAGATCATTTTACTCTACAACAAGTTCCTCGTTCGTCTAATCATCAGGCGGACACCCTCTCTAAATTAGCATCCTCAGCATCATGTGATACCCCCAGGTCGGTATTTTGGGAGGTAAAGGAAAGAAGGAGTATTGATGCCGAGCCGGTACATATCATTGATAGAAGCTCTACTTGGATGGACGGGATCATATCTTATCTAAAGGATGGATTACTCCCGGCCGATCCTAAAGACAGCTGGCTGATGAAAAAGAGATCGGCCTGTTTCGAAATGAAGCAGGGGGAGTTGTTTAAAAATGCATTTGTGAAGCCGTACCTAAAGTGTATTACTCCTGAGAAAAGATATGATGTCCTGGACGATCTTCACCAGGGGCAGTGCGGCTCTCATATTGGAGGACGAGACTTGGCTAAAAAGGCTGCCCATCTGGGCTACTATTGGCCGAGCTTAAAGTCAGACTCCATGAAAATGGTGAAGAAATGTAACAAGTGCCAGAGATTTGCAACTTTGATCCACCGCCCCGCCAACAGTTTGTCGGCCATCAGTAGTCCGCTCCCCTTTGCCAAATGGGGGATGGATATTTTAGGACCGTACACACCAACATCTGGAAAAAGGCGTTATGTGTTTGTAGTAGTAGACTACTTCACAAAGTGGGTGGAGGCCGAGGCTGTACGGGGCATCAAGTGGACGGATGTTTCAGCCTTCATATGGAAGAGTATCATTATACGTTTTGGCGTTCCTCAGTCTATGGTATTCGACAATGGAACGCAGTTTGAAACGCCTCAACTCAAAGAATGGTTGGAGGACCAGGGCATAGCTTATTGCTTTGCTTCAGTCGGCCGAGCACAAGCCAATGGCCAAGTAGAGGCATACAACAAGTTGATCTCCAATGGAATCAAGCGCAAGCTTGAAAGGGCAGACGGCTTATGGGCTGATGAGTTGGTTAATGTATTATGGTCCATATGAACCACGACCAAGAGCTCCACAGGAGAAACTCCATTATTCTTGGTCTATGGCGCCGAGGCTGTCCTCCCAATTGAGATGTATGAGCCCACCCTTAGGGTGATGCTATATGATGAAACGGCCAATTGAGAAGCCATGAAGACCGCCTTAGACTTCAGACTTCCTTCCTAAAGCTAGGGGCAACGCGGTGCTTAGACATGAAATCTATCGCACAAGGATGACAAGGGATACAATCACCGAGTGTCAAGGCGGCCGCTAAAATTGGGAGATCTGGTCCTAAGGAAGATGGAGGTTGTGGGACGAGCAAATGAAGATAGAAAGTTGACCCCAAACTGGGAAGGGCCGTATCGAATCAGGGAAGAAGTCCGAGATGGGACTTACCGTCTTGAAGCCATGAACGGCCGACCAATTCCGCGTACATGGAACACTGAAAATTTGAAGAAATATTATGTTTAAGTTTAGTACTTAGCCAAAAAGCTGTATATACAGCTAGGTCTGCTGACCGAGCAATGTAAGCCGTACGGCCACAACAATGTAATTTTGACAAATTAATGAAAAGTCAAACATTATTATATTATTTTCCATTCTATTTATGCTTATTTGAACGGTCATAGTCTACACAGAAACGCCGCGTGAAATTTGTGATTAGGTAGCTTGCAACACATCAACCCGGTCGCAGAATAAAATAAAATTAAATAAAATAAAAATGAGCGACTTGACCTTAAGTCGGATGTATACGTCCGTCCCTCACTAAGACGGACGGAAAAGGTAAGGTACCCTATGAAACCCCTATAATGGGGCAAGGGCATACCTAGGTATCCCAGCCCAGCCAAAACTTAGAAATTTTAAGTTGAGATCATACTTGAAATTTTTTAAGCGCGTCCGAACGATAGTTTCAACGGACAAACTCGCATAAAGACAATCGAACGGCCAAATAATGTGTTGATTCGGCGTACCACCTAGTCCAAGGGCAATCATTACTATGATTTGATTGACTTACTAGTAGTCATACCCCCCCAAGGTATAAATTCTACCAAGTCAATCACACCACTTAAAATATGGACTAGGCGGACGCCGAATAAAGGGGCATACCCCCCATTGTACGAAGATACAAAAACGTGTAAAAAGTACGCGTACGAAAAAGAAAAAACATGTTAAATGGAAAATTTGCAAAGTATGAAGCAAAATAGAAAACTTGGATTAATAAAAAGACCCGCTTAAAAGGCGGCAAAGTATCTTACATAAAACCGCTCGAAAAGGCGGCAGATAAAGAAAATAGAAATTAACTAAACAAGGCAGAAAGAGCTGAAATCAAGGGGCGGCTGGGGTAGAAGCTGGACTTTGGCCTAGGCCGGGCTCTTGAACGGCGGCAAGGGACGCGTCCTCAGCAGGTGTCTCCTTTCTCTCCACTTCACCGTCTTTGCCGGCCGCCACTTCTTTGTTTTCCTCCTCCTCTGAGGTAGTCGGCGTGACGTCCAGCTCAGGAGAAGGCTGCCCGGCCTTCTTAGCCTCTTCTCTGAGGCAGACAAAGTTGAGGCGTTTGGTGAAGTGTTCTTGATAAAAGGCAGCCTCGCCCTCATCCACCATAAGCTCAAAAGCCTCAAAGAAGTGGCTCTTCAGCCTGTCCTCAGCATTCTGTTCAATACGGACGACCTCATCCGCACTAGGGGCCCGAGGTGTTTGCAGCTATAGAGTTACGTCCTCAACGGACTTTTTTAAACTCTCCACCTCGGCCTTGAGAATGTCCGCCTCGTCCTAGGCCTCCTTCAAGTGTTTTTGGGCTAAGGCCACTTCACTTCTAAGCTTTTCGGAGGCCTCGAATCTCTCCTTCCAGCGCTGGCCGTCCTAGAGGGCCTGATCCCTCTCCTGTCTCATGGCGTCCCTGGCCACGGACTCTTGCTCTAGGGCCTGGCCCAGCTTCACCAAATCTTCAGCTTGCCGCGCCGCCTTGTCGGACAACGCGTTGATTTGGGTTTCAAAGTATCGGCGCTGGACGGTCGTTTCCCCAGTAATGGCATCCTGGGTCTTTTGAATTTGGTCCCAGGCATGCTTCAGCCTTTCATTCTCCTTGTCCATCCATTCAAGGAAGGCATTCAACCGCAGGAAGAGCTGCGTACAGGGAAAACGTGTTAGCAAAATAAGAATGAAAAATTGACTAAGTATGACAGTTGAAAGAGAAATTACCTCAGCACTACAGTTGATCATTGGGCTAAGGAAGCCCTCATGGATCCCCCGCAGCTTGTCTCGCTGCTTAGCGGGGACCGCCCTAGCCATGGCCTCCCTCATGGCCTTTCTGTCTGCGCCCGTAAGGGATTGGCTGGGCAGCTTCATATGCAGCTCCTCTGCAATGTCTGTGCGCGGGCGCATAAATAAAAGTTTAGCTCAGGTTCAATCAAACTTATAAAGAGCGAAATAAAGGATTCAAGGTTACTTGGACTGACCGTCAGAGAAGCTCGGAGGGTTAGGAAGATTGAAGGTGAATGATGGGGGCGGCGCAGGCTCGTCACCCTCCTCCCCCGTCCGGCCAGGCTGGTCGCCGGCCGACTAAAAGGCTTCAAGCCAATCAGATTCATGGACTCTTTGTACGGGCAGAGTCACTTCTGGCCCGGTCGATTTTGCCGGGGTCGACTTACCCCTACTGTCCGATTTCTCAGACTTATCATGAACCGGCGTGGCGGCCGGATCCATGGACTTGGAGGCCCCGCTATCACTCAGCCGGGGTTGTTCTCCTTTGGACTGCTTGGAGATAGTCCGCGACGTGGTCTTGGCCGCAGAGGTGGAAGTGGTCTTAGAAGAGACCGTCTTCCTTTGTTTGGACGCCTTCCCATCCTTGTTCGTTTTGGAGGATGGAACGGCTACTTTCGCTTGGACCTGGGGGTCGGAGTCGACAGCTGAGGAGAGGCGAAAGTTAGTGAAAATTAAGCAAGACAATACATTTATTGTCCGTGTCTAGCTAAGAAGGAGATCTCTTCCGTAATGCCAACACGGACGCAGGGATACGTCCGTGAGAACCCAGAAAGAATGACCTTCCAAGCATCCTAGCACGGACGAAAAGAAGAAACGGAGGTGAATATACTTCTTTAGATTGCTCGTACAGCTTCCGACGAGCCTTGTAGCGGGCCAAGTCAATCTCCGACATATTCACTTCCCCTTTCTGCTCTGAGTCCAGCATCTTGTACGCCTCAGCTGTAAAAGAAAAGGAAGAAGTGTTAGAAAATCCTTCAATTTCAAATAACCTATGTATGTGCAAAAATATATGTCCATGCGTCCAACTTGGGGCAAGTTCTTGTACAAGCCATAGGCGGACCTGAACGTGGGATCCCGTAGCCAACTGGATAAGGGGACCCAGTTGCTTGGAACGCGCTCAGTTTTGCCGTTCCTCCTCACCCTGTTGACTTTGAAGTATTCAAGCTGGTGCTCTTGGATGGGGTGGACGGGTGGCTTATCAGGCTTGAGGTCCCCGCGTCCAAGCTGAATTGGTTCAGCATTGAACCGATTCATCCGCGGGTTAAATTCAACACTTTGGTCTTGATGCGGTAGAATCGGTGCTTCCAGTCACGCCATTTGGAGACGCGGTCAACCACCATCATGTAGTCCCTACTGGTACTCAGAATAAGCCAGCCGTTAGTTTCAGCGTCCAACTTGGTCAGTGAGTGCATCTCACAGAAAACTGCAAAGTCCGGATTGAAGCCTTTGCAGATGCACGTCACCAAATACCCAAAAATGTTCAACCAGCTGTTAATTTCCTATTGATTGATTTAATGCTCTATGACTAGATTAGGCCTGATCTTTTATACATGAGTGTGACAATATTGATTCGAGATTCGAGAGATGAGAATTGATGTTTAGGTCTAGTTTCAATAGGAAGGTTAATTTATAAATGGTTAAGTCGAGATTCGAGAGATGAGATTTAATACCGGTAGATTAATTCTGTGATTATAATACGTAGCGAAAGCCCTTTACAATCTGGTTAATTGATGCATTGATGATTGACTATTATTGATTTTTGATATTGCATGATAATTTCTTATTGAATTGTTTTAACGCTTTACAATTACGGCTTGTAAAAGTATAGCAATATTGAATTGATGAATCGAGCAGATGTCAATTTGATATTAAAGTCTATTTTCAATAGGGACTTAGATCTAGTAAATTGCGAGAGCTTTTTAGATCTATGTTGATTAATAAATTGCGAGAGCCTGTTAATCATGTTATTTATTGCAATGTCAATGATTGATTACTATGCCCTAGATCCTCTTATATATTGTTTTCTCCCTATTCTCATTCTTCGTATATTATTCAAATATATAGATATTGGTTACTTCATAATCTAGATTATATTAGTTAATTAGGAATAAAAAGACTTGTTTCCCTGTGGAGTTCGACCCTACTTCCCTATCTACTTTATTTAGAGGACTTAGGAATTATTTTTGATTAGGGGATACGACTTTACCCTGTCAAAATTTGGCGCCGTTGCCGGGGAAACGGTTTTATTTTTATTTCTGATCATTTTTGTAGTCTAGATTATTTTCTTTTTGTCTCAGAGAGCGTTAGTTCTCTGAGGCAAATCTCATATTTGCTTCTAGTTTTTGTTTATGCCCAGGTGTTCCAGATCAGGTTACATCCCATTCGATCCTGAGATCGAACGCTCCTTTCATAGACAGAAAAATCTCTACAAGCAAATCCTGGCGGATTCTGGTGATAATAATAATAATCACCGAGACCCTCCAACTGGTTCTAGCGATTCAGAGGTATCATCAGATCCAGAATCAGAGATGACGGCTCCAAAGAAGCTTAGTGATTATTCACAACCAAAGCTTTACAGATTTTCCACATCTCACCCCCACTCCGGCTCTTGATGGGGTTCAATTTGAAATTAAACCTCAATTTATAACGATGATAGAGAGGAAGCAATATTCAGTGGAGCCAAGGGTGAAGACCCAAATCTTCACTTTGCCGACTATTGTCAATATTGTAACACCATCAGGCAAGTCGGGGTCACT